CATCGATCAACGGCATACTGAAAGGCTTCTTGTTACTAGTAGCGATCTGCGAGTGGATCTTAATCAGCGTAGTTTGAAGCTATCACTGACGGTCCATAAGCGGCGTAGCGTCGGAACGGAAACCGCACCTTTTCTAGTCGCTTGAGCCTTGAGCCAAAGTACATATGGTACATATATATATGTACATGTTGCACTGTACATGTCGCTGCACTTCCATTCGCACCCCCCATGTGAACGGCAACAATATGTTCCGATCACACACGAAAATTTAGGGATGTAAGTGCTACAAAGAAATTGTATGATTTGCCGCGAGACTCATATGAGGCTCATACTACAAAACATGCTGGACTAAAGCGGACTTTTACATATAAAGTGTGCAACTATGGCTCAGAACCTATGAAAAATCGAATTGAACAAGTGAGACAGCCATGAGGCCTCGCTCAGTATCCACTCAAAAGAGCTTCGCTTTGATGTAGATTCGAACTGGTGACTTCCACGTAGATGTCACATCGGCAACTGACTTCACACTTCTCAAAGGATGTAGGTTTTGGTTTGGATACACTTACAGAACGGCAAGTCGGAGAGACAGTCGGTGATTGTCTTCCTTCCATTATGCTCATGGTATCAAATCAAATTGACGATTTGCAATGATACACTTACAGCGTTCCAGGTCAGATAGACATCCGGTGAATGACTTCCTCCCTGGTTTGCATGGTATATTCATAGTCGTTCAAAGAAATCACCACTGGTGATAACCTCTCCATCCACGATGATCCCAGTTGCCCTGAGCATCCCACCGATCATCTTCTCCCTTCTTGGACTTTCCCTTGGACTTGTTCTTTCCCTTTCCCTTTTCAGAAGGTTGAGGTACTTCGCGACGTTCTTGCGTTAGCGCCGGCCTCCAAGATGTTCCAGATTGGCCTCCTCCTTTGGAACGTCCTCGGGATGATGAAGAAGTTGTACCTTCTGCTGTATGTGCATTAGCGGCAAGATCTTCCTGCAAAGCTTGCTCAAACACATCGGTAGCACTGGATGGTGATTTATCATGTGGTCTGGCTTTTGGAGCAGCCTTCACCTTGTTCTCCTCTGCCGATGAGGGCCCGAAACTCTTAGGTGCTGCTGAAGGTTTTGGCTCCTCACTTGGTGCTAACGACGGCTTGGCCTCGGTTCTGGGTGTAGATGCTGGCTTTGCCTCAGCTCTTGACGAAGAAGTTGATTTAGCTGTTGCCTTGGCTGCCTGCTTCTTCTTGCCCTGAATCTCCTTGGCCCTATCTCCAAAGCCTAGACGATTGGTAAGAGCTTGAACATGCTTGTGTTCTATCACGCTCATCCATCTCTCTGTATGTCCAACGTTGGGGTTTCTGGCCATTGACTCTATGACTTCCTGAGCTTGTGGGGGCAACCTGATTTCATGTTGATCAATGATCAAAAGAATAGACTTCTCCCACTTGCTCTTCATTCTCGAGTACATGATGTCCAGAGGATCGATCACCTTATGGTAGGGCGATGTAATGTCGGTTCTAAAGTAAGAGTATGTCCGACACCCATAAATCGCATGGATGCACTTCTGTACCAATTCAGTCATTGCGCTGGCTTTCTTCGCTTTCAACTCCTCAAGCTGGGCATCAGTCAAGTTGGTGGAGTATTCGAAGTTGCCATATTCCTCCTTGTAGGATTTCGGAGTATGACCAAATGATAGGATCATGAGTGCTACCTTGCAAATGAATTGCTCTCCTCTGAATCGGTGCCAGGCCTCCTCAGTTGTAATATTGTTGTCGTTGGCAAAGTTTAACATCATGTCATCTGTTGGATCCAATGGTCTCCCATCGTCATCGATTTCAGTGGAATCTCCTGTGCCGAACTTGCTTATCACATCCAGACGCTTCTTTTTCCAATTTGCTTTGAAGTCGGTAAGGCTGGTGCAATAGTAGCTCTTGTACATCAGGGAGATCATGTTCAGCACACATTTGACCACATACCTATCCATCAAACCCGATGCATTCATGGAGACGTCCTGACAGTAGGCTCTCTCTTGATGCGCATAGATTCGAGGTTCCGGTACTCGACAATAGATGGGGAGATCTTCGTTGTCTCTTCCTTCTTCGGGATTGAACTCGGTCGCTCCATGCTGTGCATAGTATCCCGGTTCATCACGATCTGTCGGTCGATTCGCCTCCGGATGTAAGTCGTCGGTGACGTCTTCATCCTCGGGCTCACCATCTTGACGTTTCTTCCCCTCATATTGTTGTGTGCTCCTCTGGATCTCGATGATCACGTTTCGTTCGTCTTCATCTTCTAGATCAGAGTCACGACCGTAATCGATCTCGTCCTCATTGAAAGATGGGGTCTCGACATTATCACTCTTGAGGTTCTCTGCACCATCAGACGGTTTGGAAGGATCTTGATTGTCCATGTCCTCGTCGTCGTCAGCTGCTTCAGTTTGAGCGATGTCTTCTTCCCAAGCCTTTCTGATCTCGTCCATAGTGGCCTGGTCCAATATATCTTGATCATTATGTTCAGGCTTCTTCTCTTCCTTCTTTTCCTCTTCATCGTCGCTCACAAGATCAACGGGTGAATCGGAAATGACAGTGTTGCAAATACCACACGAGAGTAGCCTGCCTTGACAAGATAGGCATACGGACAAAGATGAAGAAGTCAAATGCATACATGATGGACACAAAATATTGCCATCCACGTTGCGATACCCTTCACATGTTCTGGAGATGATTTCGTCCCAAGTTTCCTCACTGATGGAATCCTCGATCAGCTCTCCATTGTCATCGAATCGTACTTCATCGATAAGGGACACGAGCTTTTGGACGTTGTCGTCTGTCGCCGAGGCTGACTTCGTGACTTCGTCGGCTCTCCCGAGGATGGTATGCTTCTGAGCAACCCAAAGTCCATGACGTGCCGCTAGAACAACTTGTTCTCCAGTGCTTCCCAGCAGGAGTCTCCTCCATGCCTGACCGTGGTCGTCCCAGTACCAAGCACCTCGTACACATCTCCATGGAACTTCTCTAAAAACAACAGTGTAGGAATTCTCCGAAATTCTTCCTCCAAGCTTCCTCAAAGTCATGATTGGAACATAAAGGCAAACGGGCATTCCCCCTCTTGGCCATCTCGATCTCAGGATCTTTGATGATCGATCATCCCACGGCGCAAAGTGGTTGAAGAAAACACTACCTCTATATCCATCCATTCCACCAGGGACAATTCCTAGTTTCATGATTGACTCAATATTGGAAAGCGATGTCATGTGAAAGCTTCCTCCAAGCTGCATTGCCACATTCTCTGGGATGAGATGAGAAGTCCACACAGGATATATTGACACATCCTCTTCAAGAACAGTCTCTCTTCCGGAATTGTGAGAGGCAACAGCTCGAATTGCACAAGGAACGATCCAACGTTCATGCTTCAGAAATGACGGTGCATCTGTGCCGTGAAACATGAGGTTTGCCCAGTATCGCCTTTCCTCTTCG